CATGCTATAGATGGGGGGTTCTTTAAGCTAATTGAAGTTGTTTTCTAAAGGTGTTTAGTTTCTTTGGGTTCTGAATAATTGATAAGGTTTCATCAACTTGCTTCTGTGCACACAAGCTCCAGGTTAGAGTATCGTATTGACTATCATAGTTTCACATTGCATTTCTTTGGTAGTACCAACTTAAAAGAGTTCCTGTCATGCTCGGGCTGGACTTGGCAGTGAGCATCATCAGTTGTGTTGGCATGACTGTCTGTGGATCTGTGTTAGAAACAGGATTATTTCATTTTGTAAACTATTGTTAGTGGAGAAGAGAGGGCAGCCTGCTGCAATTTGGGAGGTGGCATGAGTGATCAGAGGTACATGCAGAGTCCTTAAGCTACCTATGTTATATGGCACTACTGCCTAAGTTGTTTATCAGTTAAAATTACTTCTAAGAGCCCATCCTTTTTCTTTCTGTCTTTAAAGATCTAGATTTGTGCAGGTCACGTTGTACTGGATGATTTTTGATCTTTCTGTCCCTCTGTTTGCAGTCTAACTTGAGTCATTTTCCACTTTCTCATTTGTACTTTTCTTGTACACCTTTCTTGTTATCAGACACAAACTGTTCTCACTTGGACACATTCACAAACTGCTGCTATATCAATCCTCCTCTGGTGACTTTTGTTTTTAATGCTTTTCTTGTCAAGTAGATTAGGAGGTAGCTCATCCACAAGGCCAAATAAACAGGTTAAAAATTAAATTAAAAAAAAATACTGTATTTGAAGGGAAAGAAAGGCTATAGTTTGGTCAGTGATTGATGGTTATTTCAGGGGAATGTATTTGCACTTGCCATTTCCAGTTAGCCTAAGGGAATGGGGTGATCTAATCATGTATTTTAAAAAAATTATGCAGACCCATTCATTGTCCTTTCTTTTCTCTTATGATTATACATTTAACTGGTATTTCAGTCCATGCTAGTTCATAATTTTTACTTTGTTATAAGAATAGAAAAAGGAATGGATTTTTTAGAGCATCAGTATGTTAATTCCTTTAATCTCTTGTTGTTTTTCTCTCCATCTGCAAAACCATAAAAGGATAAAGGCTTTTAGAGATACGTTCTTTTGTACTTTTGCCATGATAGCAGTAGCAGGGTTCTAAGTGTCTGTATTGAAAAATGCAGAGGATGTACTGCTGTTGCATATGCTTTTCACTAATCAACTTGTTTTCACAAATTTCAGTGCTTTTCTGTTTGTTTCTGGATTCCGAAAATGAAGAGACTTAGTGAAGTATCAGGTGGACTTCGGTTTCTAATACTGTTCTGTGGTAGAATTTCTTAGATTTTCTTGAGTATATAGACATTTTTAAGAGTTTTCTTTTATAAATTCAGCAACACAGTGTTTCTGGAAGAGAAACTTTAAGATATGATAGTAAATAGTTCTAGGGCTTGTAGGCAATCTATATTTAAAAACATCCATAGCCCAATGTTCATATAGCAAATTTCAGTGTTTTAGTTTGGCAGCTAACAGTGAATGAAACAGCATTTTCTTGATCATAGTGTACTGTTTTGAAATTTTTTTAGGTTCCTTTCATGGTTTTTAGTATCTGTTTAATAGTATAATAAAGGCTTTTAGCAGTATCATAATTTCTTTATGGCTAACAGACTGCAAAATTTACATTAATATCAGTCATTGTACTAGCAATCTCTCGTTCCTCGAATACTGTGGATTTCTTTAGCCATGCTGATTCATACATTCTAGTTGCAATGGCTGTTCTCTCTTCAAGTCATGGATGCTTTTATTTCCAGCTCTTCAGTGTCCCGTGAAAAACATTTGCCAAAATGTTGCTGCTATTTGCTTAAGCTACATGATTCTTTATTTGCGTGTGTGTATGCAAGGCAATTTCTTTTAATTGATCTGCAGAAGGAGGTCTGCCTTCATAGTCTGAATGTCTGGAATAGAGTCAAGAAAACATGAAAAGGGAGACTTCTCAGCACTATTACCAGGCAATCAAATACTTTGTGAATGGCTGTCTTTTTTTTTTTTTTTTTTAGTAATGTCTTCCTTAATTTCCTAGATTATTAATTTGATTCTTCAGAGCAAGGAATAGATTTTTGTCAGCTGAAAACGTTTCCCTAATTGCAACTGTTATCCAAATGGGTTGGGGAAATGGTTAGCTCAGTGAATTTTTATATTTTGTAATCGTTTCTTAAGCACCCTTTTATTCTCGGGGTCTTTTTTTTCCTGCTGTTATCTTTACCGTTCCATCCATGGCTCAGTAGTGACTTTTGTATAAGAAAGTCAAAACTCATAAATAAAAATTTTGATTGGATACTAATTTACTGTTCTCTTTTCTACTACCACACAATTTGCAAGTAGGTTTTGTCCACTCTCCCTGTTTCTCTTTGTTATTTTTCTGACCACAAATAGGTAATCAGCATTTACTTCTAAAATGGGGCATCTGGTGATAATTAATGTTATCTAGAATTTGCTTCTCAGTGGAATCTAATTAGACTTCAGGCTGTTTGTTCCTCTTCCTTCAATTTGTAATGTTACTATTTCAAAAATTTTTTGAGTGTATGTTCACTAGTCGTATGTCTTAGTCTCCCAGAATTGTATACAGCAATCTCCATTATTTAAACATACACTGGACAGTTTATATTCTTTTTAGGCTGAATTAGAAAAAAAAGTGAAAATGTGTTTGTTGTTCAAAATAGATGTGGCCACTATTGATAGTTTTTTTCCTTTGTTTCCTTTCACCAGTTTTCTTTTATGAAAGATGAAGTCCTTGGAGGGATGCATCTTGTTTTGAGAATACATGAAAGACCATTAACCAGAATCCATACTATGTAACTATTTAATTACTTTCAAAATACCAGTTGTACTCGCACTAGTGGTGTCATTAATTTCACCAGCTTTAGAATTTGCTGAGCTGTTTGTAGTCAGTTTTTTCACTAATTTACAGATTGAAAATTTTAAAATTGCAAAAGTAGCGTGGTCATATTTGACTAGTAGTGAAACCTAGTAGTTGTACACACATATTCATGCTGTTTTAACAGGAACATACTCATACAAGAGGAGCCATGTTAGTGTTTTGATTATGTTATGCAGTAATAGTAATGGATACTACTGAATTAAGTCAGAGGTTAATGTGGAGTTCACTGTTTGACACAGATCACTGCATTAGGTATTAGCTTTCAGTTTAGACAGGAAAGACTTCTGTGACTGTAAGGTATGAGCCAAGTGTGAACCACCTCAGTGGTGCCTGCCTGGATGAACAGATCATTTTAAAAGTTGCTCAGAAAGACAGGAACTGTCCTCATTCCAGAGGGTGCTATCTGTGAACATTTACAGAGAGCAACTTTCCTGTCTTCACATTTAGTTGATCATTTTAACAAAAGCCATCTTAGCTTGTTTATACTGCACTTTTAAATGTTCTCTTAAAAACCTTAGAAGCTAATCTCCAGTTGCCAGATTTCCAGTTTTCCTTGGCAGAACCTGCCCAATTTTCTTTCTCAGCCAATAACCCCCCACCTTAGTAAACTGAAAATTGGGAGGGAAGGAGATTTCATATGAAAATGGATCACTTTTAATACTGAATGGAGAATTTGGAGTCTCAACCTGTTGCTGTGATGAACCCCGCTATGTACTTTGGATCCAGATTCCTGTATGCTGTGTTATGTCTTGACATTTCTATCTGTTGTGAATACTGGTGACAATCAGAGAGCGCTGTTGCTGAAGAACAGTGTTGAGTCCATGGGAATAAGCAAACAGGCAGACATCTTCTGTTGGGTACCTTTTCTTTTATTGTGGTAAGGAGGCTGTATAATATTCTCAGTGCTCTTCTCTACTCTATATGAGTGGTTGTTAGCATGAGATTTTAAGAATGTGAAATTTATGATTGGTCTTTTGGTTAATGTGACATATATAGACTTTCGAACAAGTGATCAAAGGGATACCAAAATATTTCAGAATTAAGAGCACAGCAACTTGCCCAAAGGAAGAAACAAATATAAATATAAAATTTAATAAATATTACAAAGCTGCCAATAAGAAATTATGAAAGTAATAATAAATATATTTTTAAGCTTACAGTGATGAAGAAAGATACTGAAATGCAATAGGAGAAAATTTACTCTGAATTAAACTCCCATTATTTTCTAAAGCATAAAGGCATCAAAAGACAGGGAGGAATTTTCCCCATGTTGAATGTTACAGTGAAAGGGATCCAAAATTTCAGGCACATAATCACAAGTTTTCATAATGTAGTGAGTTTATGTACATCTGCTTAGCACTAGTCACTGACTGTGTGCCTACTCTTAGGTTTAAGCTTACACTTTGCCATTTGGCATAAACTAGATATGTGCGTGCTGAGCCATTGTAGCTTAAGTGACATCTGGTGACTTTTTAAGGAGAAAGAGTATGATTATGGGGAAAAGAGAAAGCCATTAGATTGAATTATTGCAGCACCAGTTCTAGTCATGGAACATCCAGGTAAGGTAGTTTCTTTCCTCATAACAGAAGTTCCTGCATTTTATACTGTGTGATTTTAAAAGTTGGGATTCACAGTAGCGAGTTGGGTGAGATGATTTCTAGGATGGTGGTTTCCTATAGAAAGAACAAATGTTTTGTCATTGTAAACATTTTCCAGTTAAGACAGTAGAGAGCTAGGATTGTCTTGCTTTTAATTAAGCTCTGTCTACTAATACTGACATGTAGCATAGGCACATTTTAGCAACTTAACTGGTGACTCATGTTTATACAGTAACTTAATGTTGAATATTCATGATATTTGACTTGAGACTGGAAAAGTCATAACTAATGATTTTAATGCATGATTTTAGAGAGGCATGGCAAGTGATCAACTTTTCTTGAAATTGTGGTCCCGTTACAGGTTTGCAAATCCATCTCCTTGGAATTCTGTACCTACTGATGCTTAAAACTCAGACAATGTCATTATGATCAGCAATGTACTAAAATTAAAGAAGTAAAATAATAATAATATGTATTTTCTGTTTTGTTTAGGGTGCCAAATTTGGACATCCAATAGGATTAAATCAGGCTCCCCCCCCACGTTCTTCTGTTCGAAGATCATTTGGAAGATCTAAGCGATTTAGTATTACTCGTTCTCTGGATGACCTTGAGGTAATTAAATTTCACTTGAAACTTAGAAACTTAGAATTGAGTCCTAGAGAGGAACTTACAGTAGTTAATGCTGATCATTAATGAAAGAAAGTAAGTAATATCTGTGGTGTAATAAAGTTACTAATCATCATATGACATTTATGTGAGAGGAATAGAGATTTCGGGCATCACCTGACTTTTTCAGTGTTTCTTTAATAGTTTACATTGATGCCAGCAGCGGCCATTCTTTCTGTGGGGAATTTTGACTTTATTTTACCCATACAGCTGGACATGTAAAGCAAAACAATACAGTTTTGATGATCAAAATGTGCATCATATCTTAGAAATCATTGTATCGTGATATCACATAAAAAAATCAAATGCTCATTGTGTTATTTTTTTCATTCAGCTGATGATCATTGCATTGAGAAAATTTTGGGAGGTTAAATTTGTTGCTGGACCAGGCTCTTTACATAACTGCCTAAGAAATTTCCTCAGTGGCCAAACCTTACTGATTTTGGTGAAAACAAGGAATGAGAAGCCATCTGAATTTAAAAAGCTGCTCCTCCTGCTCTGCTGAGAGCCTCCCTCAACCAGCTGTAGGACTATGGCTTCATTATATCTTCTCTTCTAGTGTGCTTCCTTGTGAAAACCTGACCTATAGTGATGGAAGGTGAATGGAGATATTTTTCCCTTACTCCTTTATCATGCTTATCTGGAAGAAGATTTGTGGTTGGGGAGAAACAGAAATATGTGCAGAGGTCTTGGCATAGGAACCATGGAACATTATACTGCTCTTCAGCATGGGAGGGAATGTGACACACTGATTCTCTAAATGGGAAGGAGGTGTTTAAAAAGCATTTGAGATGGGAGGAGGAAAGAAGGAGATATTCTGAGTTTCCTGCCATGGGAAAATGTAGGAAGAATGGCATTTTGTTGACTCTGAACTAAAAGAGAGGGGAGCTCAGTGCGCTGGATTTTTAGGGAACAGAATATATGGAAGGAGCTTCTGGTGTGCTTAGGGAATGCAGGTAGGAACTGTAATTACTTATTTCTCAGATGTTTTAAAGGATATTTTTCATTGTGGTCTATTTCTATCTTGTCTGAAGTTTTAAAATCTCTTGCTTTTTTTTTCTAGCCATGGAAAATACTTCACTTCTTTGCACTTATAACTTTAATACAGTAAGGCCATAACTAACAAACATGGAAGGAGCTTCTGGTGTGCTTAGGGAATGCAGGTAGGAACTGTAATTACTTATTTCTCAGATGTTTTAAAGGATATTTTTCATTGTGGTCTATTTCTATCTTGTCTGAAGTTTTAAAATCTCTTGCTTTTTGTTTTCTAGCCATGGAAAATACTTTATTTCTTTGCACTTACAACTTTAATACAGTAAGGCCATAACTTTAACAAACAGAGCAAGATCCTCTGGATAAAGCTGTCTGGGAATGTCTAGCTACATCTTTCTTTGTCAGGAAATGGTGATTCTTCTAAATTAAAAAAGCTTGCTACTATGCATTACCAGTTTTGACAGAATTTCTGGTCACAATAAGAGAGAATCCTCTCAGAATATCTAAGAGCCTAGTACTAGTACTTCATGTGCAAGAGGAAAAACATAGTTCACACCATGTTCTTCCAGATTGAAATTTCATATAGATTTATGCACATCTCATATTTTTGAGAGAGTGTTTTAAACACCAAGGATGCAATTTAATTTCTGTTGTTGGAGCTGTTTTACATTCCATAAATATTCATTAAAATAGGGACTTGATATTTTCTGTTAATTTCAGAAAGATGTCGTAGTTACTGGCCTAAAAAGTAAATTTTTGTCTCATTATGTCTTAGTTGGTATTTGTTATGTATATAAATTGAGTAGCACCGACAGGAGGGATTGAGAGGCTCTCTGTGTTACCCATTGTGCTCCTAATTGTTACAGCTGTTACTTTGGTTGGGGAAATGTACATTCTAGATCACGATATGAACTGAACAAAGAAACAATGTGTATTAAAATCTGTGTTTGGATGAATGCTCTTTATTACATGTAGCTATTTGGGTGTGGACTGCTCTCTGTCAATTGCTCCTTTTCACTTTGAAATCTCTTTTTTTACCTCTGCGTGCCATAAGAGAATGATATCTTAGCCACTAGGAGAAATACCAACCCAGAGAAGAACTCCAAAAACTTCATAAGTGAAAGTAAAATAGTGTTGAGGTGTTTTGATTTTGGTTCTAACTTTAATGTTGCTGCTGCAGCACTTTCCCCAAGTAGTAGTTGTAACTAACAATGTTGTTAGTACATGTTTAGATTATTTCAGGCCATCTATTTAGGGTTGCTGGAAGATGAAATAACAATACCAGGAAATTCTTAGAGACTCCACCTTTGGAATAACGATCATGAACATGTTCTATAGGCTACTCGGCTGCTTTTGTGTGCTTTCCAGTTATATCAGCAGAATGGATAAGATACTAACCCAAACATGAAGTTTGAAAGTGAATATGCTTCTCTGAGCTTGTGGGTTTGATTCCTG